TCTCTCTCTGTGTGTTTTATTTGTAGCACTGTGTGTTCAGTAACCTCACTGCAGTTGGTACGAATGAATTTCTATATCTGTCTGTTCTATATCTGTGATGACGCTACAGAAAATATTGTTTCCCGCTTGAAGTCTTATTTGTACCTCCCTGTGGTGAGCAGGGGTAACTATAACATTGCGCTTCAAATGAAATAAAAAGAATACACTGCCCCCAACACCACACACGCACACACACACACACACACACACACACACACACACACACACACACACACACAATGAACATGCAGGTGCTTTAAGGTCGCCTCTGGTAGGTCCTACGAGTACTTCACTTTCCCTCTGTTGCTTCTGTCTGTCTGTTTTACATTTTCCGAACACTCAATCGCCATTTTTGTCTTGATGTGTATCTCTTTATATAGGCAAACAAAGAGCAATGCTCAGAGATGTCAATGACCATTTACCAGTTTCGCTATCCTATTATTGTCTTTAGTTTAACTATTCCATTACAAAATGGTTTGGGTGGAAAGGGGGGTGGGGCAATTTCAGGTCGAACTGTCTGCCTGTAGAGCTATGACGTTAGAGGGGCTAATTCCATTGCGCCCGTTTCCCCTGCTGCATCTCTTATTCATGTTGTCCCATAATTCACTCATAACCTACGTTGTCCTGACCAATCTTGACATTGGCATCTCTCACTATAATGTTGACATCCTTCCTTGGTAGTTTGTCAATGACCCCTTGGAGCAGGCTGAAAAAGACATCCTTGTCTTCATCCAAAGCATTATTTGTTGGGGCGTAGATCTGTACTATATTCATGTTGATGCTCTTGCTCCTTGTAGTGAATGAAGCCATGATGATCCCCCGTGGGGTTCCTATCTCTTATTCATGCGTCTGTATTATATCTGCTCATCCCATGAAGACATGGCGCTCCCCCAGAGTTCCGTAGGGTCATCATCTGTATTGTTCGCCTTCCTTATCGTCAGTGGCTTCTTGAACCCAGGTGAGTCCACACCAAAGAGGTTATACTTAGTACTAGAGTTCGTGGCAGTGATGTCACCCACGTGAATGGGGGCTGGGTGTGCCAACCCCTGGACGCTAAACCTCAAGGGAAAGACTTGCACAGTTCAACAGTGGTGCGTACTTTTCGAGACTCACGTAAAGGCGTCTTGGAGGTCAAAGGAGGAAATCTCAAACAAGCTTGCACTGAAGTATGGGGTCTGGTCAGTACTTGATATACTAGAGCTCCTTGAGAACGGGATTGGGACTCAGATTGTTTATGTAAATGGGGAACCGCTGCCATGCCTATGAGGGTAAGAAGGGCCCCGTGTCTAACACATGTGACGTCACTGCTGCGAGTTCTAGTATTATATAACCTTTTTGGTCCACACACACACGGATACACCAACCAATCGACCCCATTTTCTCAACACCATTTTAAACTCGGCGCCATCTTAACAAAATAAAACTATGATTCTTATTTGCCACATTTTATCAATTATGCAGAGGCTCTACTGGTCAAGCGGTTACGGTGTTTGTCTCGGATTCAATAGGTCCCGGGTTCGAAACCTGACAGCAACGGACAATTTTTCTTCTCTAAACTTTTCTCTTTTCACCTCCATTCCTGCTCTCTATCCATATTCTGTCGTCTGTTGTCGTCTCCATTTTCTGCCCCCTCTCTCCTGAAGGCTATCTCGCCTATTAATACAAAATTTCACAAATATAACAAGCATAGTCTCTAAACAAGGCAAAAGAAAGAAAAATCAATGCGTGCGAAATGAGTTGTCAATCTTTATTTTTCTTTATCGTCCGTTTTCTCAAAATCTCTCGTTCGAAAAGTTGTTAAGATATCTTCATAATATTTGGTATACTGATGGATGAAACATTATTCTAGTATAATAAGTAGTGACGTTTAAACAAATCTTGAATAAATGATTTTATTATAAATTTAATCCGTTGTTAGGATCTGAGATTTTTGTGGTCAAAATGTTTCCTTAGTTTGGACCTCGATTGTGAAAAAAGATTTTCTTCCTACATCAAAATGCCAAGTTCATCCACTAAAACAGCCACAGAAGGCTTCAAAACCACTTGTTTTAATATTTTAAAATCATTTATAACCTTATGATATATTTTTTTGAATTGTGTATATTTTCTCTATATGACATTCCAATAAGGCAGCCTTGGTAACACAAAAGATTTTTCAAAATTTTACTTCATAACCTAATTCTCCACTCTATTTATATTGATGCTACCACATTTGAAAGCCTGGTTTTTTCTTCTTCACGAATTTCAAAATTTCCCCCGCATCATGCTTAAAAGGAGAGTAGGGTGGAGACCAAAAATTGTATAAATATGAAATGTCTAAAATTAGTTTTTATTAAAACGGCTCAACGCTTTGCCATCACCATCATCATCATCATCATCCTCATCATCATCTTCATCATCATCATCATCATCATCATCATCATCATCATCATCATTATCATCATCATCATCATCATCATCATTCATTCATTAGATTCTATATTTCAGCAAACTCTGAGTACTGCCCTAATCCGACCAACGAATACAAGAGCACCATCATCCCGTTTACAGTACCTGTCGCCCTCTCAACGTCTTCGTCGTTCACGTGGTGGGCCAGGAGTTACAATAAGGATCTTGTGACGTGTTATACAGATAACGAGACTTGCACAAAAACTACTGACTTTGAGAACATCATCACCGGCAGTTTCAGTACATCTCCCTCGTCCAAAAGACTACAGCTAGACGTCTCTGAAGTGAACAGAGTATATCCTTTTGATATGGAGACAGAATGGCGGTTATTTGACGCCAGTAGACAGACAATCTACAGCTGTTATCTTATCGTTTATAGTAAGTCGCTCCCTTAGAATAAATCTCTTATAGGCCGTAAGGACACATACTGTGTTGTTTCCGCCGACCACCATCAGCCGGGACGACACATACTGTGTTGTTTTTATTTCCTTATTCAAAGACGAAGATGAAACCGATACTAGTTTTCTCTGATGGGTTTAGCGTGGGTTAAAGGTCACATCCACCGTTTGTAAAGAAATAGCGGGACTTTTCAATTGTTTACATTGCGTTGATGCGGGATTTGAGCTTTTTTTGCGTTGGAGTTCGTTTGTCGTTTCTGAAATTTTCACTATGCTGAAGAATAAGCCTTCTGCGTCGTCAGGTAAGGCACAATGCTGAGAAAGCAAGTGAATTACTGAGAGAACTTATTGATAACTCAGATTTAAGAGTAGAAAGTGGTGAATCTGACTTTGTCACGGAAAGAAGAATTTTTAAATGTATTTTTCTCTTTTTTTGATGTCGTAATGTTATGTAACGCTTCAAAACTAACACATTTTCCTTTGAATTTCTATACTTGTATATTAATCTTATTCTACGTTCAATGCCCTTTACAATGATGTATAATATGTGTACATTACTAACAGGGAAACACACAAAAACACAAAAGAAAATAACACATGTGATTTCCCTTGGTCAGCCATGATTTAATTCCGGTGAATCCAGGAGAAATGATGCCGATCTATAAGAGTTTTAGAATTACGAAGTTCTATCTAATGCTTTTGGACATTTTGAGTTACTAAGACCATAATGTCAGAAACCAAATGTTCTATGCCCTCTTTCAAATTCGTAAGATTATTCGGGGTCGTTATCAAGATGTTCAAAGAATTGCATTCGGAAAAGCTTGACCAAGTTAAGAAACTGAACATTTTTACGTCAAATTTCTCAAAACTATGAACTAAGCAGATATAATGTTGTAATTCTAGGGTAGCAAAATGACTTACACGTTGTGTTGTTTTTGATTCACGGGGATGTGGCTTCCTGCTGAGTCACAGTTGTCTTTTTTGTTGTCGTAGATCATGTTGTTGTGAACATTGTTGATGTAGATGTTACTGTTATTGTTCTGTTGTTGAATGGCTGTCTTTCAGTCACGTTATACTCCTTTTTGAACCTTGGTGTGTTCACGAAGGGTGTGCGTTTGTTGATGTAGATGTTACTGTTATTGTTCTGTTGTTGAATGGCTGTCTTTCAGTCATGTTATACTCCCTTTTGAACCCTGGTGTGTTCACGAAGGGTGTGCGTTTGTTGATGTAGATGTTACTGTTATTGTTCTGTTGTTGAATGGCTGTCTTTCAGTCATGTTATACTCCCTTTTGAACCCTGGTGTGTTCACGAAGGGTGTGCGTTTGTTGATGTAGATGTTACTGTTATTGTTCTGTTGTTGAATGGCTGTCTTTCAGTCATGTTATACTCCCTTTTGAACCCTGGTGTGTTCACGAAGGGTGTGCGTTTGTTGATGTAGATGTTACTGTTATTGTTCTGTTGTTGAATGGCTGTCTTTCAGTCATGTTATACTCCCTTTTGAACCCTGGTGTGTTCACGAAGGGTGTGCGTTAACGCTGTAGCGTCCTTTGTCGATAAGACGGAGCGAGTGGTGGTAACGAATACCGGATCTGCTCGACGTACGAGTTAATTCTCTTCCTGCAGACACGCACACACACACACACACACACACACACACACACACACACACACACACACACACACACACACACACACAAACACACACATAGACCGGCACTCACACACACACGCTTGCTCGCTCTCTCTCTCTCTCTCTCTCTCTCTCTCTCTCTTTTTCTCTCTCTCCCTCTCTCTCTCTCTCTCTCTCTCTCTCTTCCCCTCTCTCTTTCTCTCTGACCCACACCCATAACCCCCCACCCCGAGACGCATTGATGACACTTTCTGCTGTAAAGAACCAAATCCTGTGCAGCTCCAGTACTGCCACTGTGTAGAGACATCGTCACAACCGAACGTTCCTCTAATAATTGTCAGAAATGTTGAGAGACGATGAAATGTCATGTTCTGAACAAATCAGTGCTCTTACGTACCTCATCTGTATTCCAGAAAAACCTTCGGATGTGTATTGTAACAAGCCACTTTTCTCGATAGACAACTCCTCCCTCTCATTGACGTGTCATACGGTCGGAGTGTACCCACAAGGTCTGTGTCAGTTCTACCGGAGATCATCGCCCGAGGTGAGTACAGCCCTGCAGCTTTGGGATAAGCTCATGTAGTCATGTGACACACGCATTTGATATCAGAGTAGGACTCACTGCTGACGCCACCAAGCTGTTTACCATTATAAACTGGCGATCAGAAAAAAAAGACAAGGAAAAAAATGATTGTCATAAAACGTAGTCTTTTGAGTCTCTGCACGTTTCCCTTTTGTTGTTTTGATACGAGTTTTATGGTGTTCGTAACTGCATTAGGCCATGCGCTTCAGTGAAATGTTCAAACTTCTCCGAGGGCACTAAAATTTGTATTATTGAAAAGAGCTTGGCTTTCTGTTTTCAGAGCTTTTTAAATTGTTGTGCTATCTTTGCTAGTTCAGAAGCAGCGACCATTTTTGTGAATCAATTTTCGCCCTGATTTGGTCAAATTTTTGCACTGCATTTTGTGCCACCAAAACTCGAAATTTTGCTTCATAACGTCATAAAATCTTTAATAATAGTTGTATCGCATTATTTTGTTTGTTGTTTTATGTAGAATCAATATATAAAAATAAAAGTCAAGTACCTTAAGAGTAACATTCTATTTACAGTTTAATTACGTCATACGCGTGACGTCGGGAGTCCCAAGCCTAGTATCCCAAAAAAGAAACCGGCACACTTTCCATAACAATGGTCCGATTTTCAAAAGAAAACAATTAACCATTTTGTTTTAAGGAGTTCTTTAACTTGCTATTGGGAGAAAATGATTAAAATTGAAAGAAGTTTCAATCTTACTTGCATAACTCAAGCAGGAGGTTGATGGTGCTCTGGGGTGTGGTTTGTTCCTTTTTTCCCTATTAACAAGCAATCGTCCTTATCTGTCCTCGTTCTTTTCTGTATTTGTTACTCTCTTGTAACACCTTTAATCTTCGGGGCTTATATGACCTATTTGTGCTGCAAGTGCCGTTAAACCCAAGCTAAAACTAAACTAAAAAAGCATAACACAGACTTGAAGAATATATATATAATTCAACGAGTATGGTATAAAGCGGGAAATCACCACAGAATATGATCAGTACTGAGAGTCATCAAACACCGATATATACACCATGCAATGACTCATACCCAGAAGAACACGACATCAGTTCTATGATCAACTGAGTGACCTTTTAAACACCATGGATGATAAAGATAATGTGACAATCATGGGGGACTTTAGCAGCGGAGTGGAAACAAAGAAGACGGCGTGGGAGAGATACATGAGGCCACACAGTGACAGAGAAAGCGCAAAACATGACTTCGTCATATTCATATCAAATACCTTCTTCCAACACAAAAAGAGTCAAGTTAACACTTGGTACAAATCAAATGGAATGACCTAAAGATAGCATCACAAATTGATTTTATCCGGGTCAAAAGATCGAAACTGAGAAAAATCAGAGAATCAAGAGTGATTCCCATCTACATCACAGACACTGACCACAGACCAGTCATCATGACTATTGACACACCAAACAGGAAAAGGCCAGAAGCAAAGAAACGACGAGAAGCCGTAAATCTCTGAAATATAAATGACAATACCAAAGATAAGATACATGAACGTTTGAAAGAGATGTATTTCACAAATTTCCCAAACAACCGGGAGACGTTGAAGAAGAATGAAGCCACTTCAAAGCATGTGTGAACAGAGCATTAAAAGAAGAGTGCGGCACCAGGAAAACAAGAGGGTAGAAAAAGAAAACAACTACATGGTGGAATGACCAAGTGAAGGAAGCCATCCAGCTGAAGAAAGAGGCATTCAAAAAGTGGCGGAAATCAAAGATTACATCCTATACAGAAAGGAACGCCGCTAAACGTCAAGGGTAGTGAAAGAAACTAAGAACAGATCCTGGACAATATATAGAGAACAGCTGGTGACAAAACGTAAAGAAGAACCTTGAGAGTTTTAGTTTTACAAGAGTTAAAAAAAAGCATGAGGATGCGGAAAGAACCGTTCAACCCAACTGAAATAATCAATGATGAGAACGGAAAACCTATTTTCAGAAAGGCAAAGATTAAGGAAAGATGGAAACGCTATTTCCTGGAGCTGCTGAATCCTACAGCAGAAACAACAGCAAACAGCTTCTCACTGAAAGAAACCACTCCAGAACCATTAATACTGCTGAGTGAAACCCAACATGTCATAACATAAAGAAAAGCCCCACAAACAAAGCCATACAAACGTATCTAGGCGTTGAAAAAATCACAGCAGAAGAGATCAAAATATACGGCCATATCGGAGTTGCGACAAAAACAACACAGAGTCAACAGAGGAATACCCCTTCTCAGCCGTGTAGATATAACGTTTGCCAAGATACTGGAAATGAGAATGAGAACAATGGTAGAGAATCAACTCAATGAATCCCAGTTTGGCTTCAGAAAAGGCAAGGGCTGAACTGACAGTTTTTTTTTTTGCATTCGGACAGTTGTATGAGACTACCATTGGACATGACAAGACCTCAATATCGTCTTCGTGGACCTCGAAAAGGCGTTCGTCAGGGTACATAGATGTCAACTTTGGGAAGTCTTAGAGGTTTTAGTAGAGGTTTTACGGCACTGGCAACTGTATAAGGTCATATGAGCACCAAGGGGTGGGTGTCAACAGAGAAGTTCTTACAGGGAATCAGACTTACTCTGCTCACCTCTCTAGCTTCAAGAGCACAAAGTCTGCTTCGACTGTCAAGGCACCCCAGATACAGCGGGTCACAAGAGTGTGACAAACATACAAAAGAAGTAGAGGAAAATGACGATAGTAAGGATTAGGAAAGAAAAAGTCGCAGTTACCTGTTGTAGTTCAGGCACAGTTATGAGCATGACATTGTTCGATCAGCCCATTTACAATTCTACTGTGCATTAGAACGAGAAATGTCCCCTCTTTGGGAATGGCCTAAAGATACTTCTGTCAGTGGCACCGCCACTTAGTCTCAGAGGAATGTGGTGTAAAAGGACAATTGCTGGAGAATATCATGGCACTTTAAAAAACAGCCTCTGTGCTGTAAGGTCAACAGAAGGACTATCGGACTGGTTCCCCATCAGGTCTGGGGTGACACAAGGGTGTGTTCTCTCTCCACTTCTCTTCATCACTTACATGGATAAGATCACGAAAGCAGCAAATTACAACATCAATGAACTGAGCGAACTTGTATTTGCTGATGACCAGAGTAATTAAATACAGAGGAAGAGGAATCACAAAAACACCACAAAATTAATTAATGAGGAATGTAAACACCTAAACATGAAAATCTCCATTTCTAAAACAGAAGTTCTGAAGGCTAGAATAAAAACAGGGAGACTCAACATCCTTATTGATGGAACACAACTCCAACCAGTAGAGGAATGTAAATATTTGGGAAGCATCCTCACACGAGATGGTCGTATGGACAAAGAAAAAGAAACAAGAACTATGAAGGTAAATGCAGTGACCTACCAGCTAGCACCCCTTCTCAGTCACAAGAACATCCCAACTGAAGTGAATTCCAAGCTCATCAATAGAATCTTCATACCAACATTAACATACCAGTGCCAAACATGGTCTCTAAACGAGGCATGAGAAAGAAAAATCAATGCACGCGAAATTAGGTGTCTCCGCAAAACCACCAAACTTCACCAGAGGAGACCGCATAAGGAACGAGACCATACGTCTACCAGTCATAAATCTATTAAAGCGTCAAAGAGTCAAATGGTTTGGACATCTAACCTAAATGAACCAGAAACGATTAGCGGCTAGAGCTTACAACACCTGCGAATCCGGCTTTAAATCAAGAGGAAGACCAAGAAAGACCTGACTGGATGGGGTTAAAAAGGTCTTGGAACAATATAACTAATTAATATTCTATCACAAACACCGAAACTTGCACCTCCCCTCGACATCCTAAGGATACCAGAGGAAGGAAAAGGTAAAGTAAAGTAAGTGTAACAAAGTGAAGCCAGAGGGCTCATGGCTCGTAAATACCAGGTGAAACTAGTACCCTGGACGCCGCTACTGGCGGAAGGAGCGTAATTGCAACTCGTATTGTTGGACACACCACTGTCCAGGTTGGCATCTCACTGCCACCCGCGCGAGAAGCGTAATTACCAACTGGACGCTGCCACCCAGGGCGGCATCCCGTAGGACAGGGAACCTTAGAGTGGGGCGTATCTATAACACTTTGCTGCCTCAAAATCCCTAATTTGTAAGATCACGTAGAACGATATGGAGGAGCGTCTCTTACGCATTAATTGTAGACGCCAGAGAGTGCACAAAGATTTGGAGCGTTCAAAGCCCATACGTCCTTGGGAACTGGGGAAAGAGGATACAATCATCCAGAAAGTACCTATTGAAGTCTGAATAATCAAAGTGGGATCATTACGACGCTGGGGCCTTATATACCGAGGGTCCGAAGGTTTAGCAGATTCGAACGCAGATCAGGGTTAGGAGAGACTAGCGTAGACTAGAGTACTGAGAGGACATAGAGGTAGGAGCTAGACCAGGTTAGGCGAAGGGTAGTGATAATATTCTTGTACACTGCTAGATAGTCGTCTGTTCGACGAATGTTATGACCAGTGTTTCAGGAAATAGTAGTTACCCTTCTGTAGATTATAGGTCCTCGAAGCTAGTAGCATGTTTTGTAAACGTCATACATTTCATTGTTGTTGATGATTAATATATATTCAAAAATATTACAGCGTGAAGTTTTATTGTCATCTTTGACATAACCCATACGATCATGTGTCAGAGCGGTGTAACCAGTATAAGTACAACAACACCTTTTTAATACTGTTACATAAGAACTGAGGAGCAAAAGTGCTCACTTTGTTACAACTGGCATCTTTCTTCAGGGTTGTTTCGTCAGTGGAAAAGAGTAATAGGCTTACACAGCTAATGCCGTGAATCGTGGAAAGATGGCGGTGGTGGGGATTATAAGAGAAATAAGACGACAAGAAGGATATATGATAGAGAAAATGTATATGAAGGTGAAGAGCAGGTAATGTGGGATAGAGAAGAAAAAAAGAGGTACGGTTAGGAA